TAATATTAGAATGCAGCATGCTTTCACCATCTTGAATATCTTCAAAGACAAATAATAAATATATCAAGTTATAAATTTTTTTTGAAAAGTTTTTATAAAATGTTCTATCAGAATATCACCCCCTTACAAATTTTTCAGTTTAGAATTGAAACTCTGAAAATGTAATTTCTTTGCAAAAAATACATTTTTTTTTTTTAATTAGAAAAGTTTTCCAGGAGTTTAATGCTAGTGGTATCTACTTTTGTGTTACAAAAATTTTATGCTGTCACCTCAGAAAAACTCATGACATGTGTGGTAGTCTAGATTGTATGTGACAACATAGACTATTGAATATAGAGGAGAAGAAAAACTAAAAAATAATTTAAGATCTTCGAAATTATTTTTATGCTATTTTTTTCTGCAGTGTAAAACTGTTCAGTGAAATCTGCTAGGTCAGCCACTCATTTATGACTGCAGCACATTCAGGCCCCAGGACCAAACTCACGGCAGGTTAGAAAAGAGTGTAATATGGACATCAGGTGATGAGGACGCCAGGCAGTTAGCCTGGTTTATCTTTTTCTTTGGCCTACTTTATGTGCTAAGGTACACTTTGTCTACCTTTGTCTCAGTATAGATTTTAGGTACACTTCACGTACAGGACACCATTCTGTATTGCCAGTGCACCAGACCGCAAACGATTTTATTAGGACTTAAAACGAGTAAGTAGCTTCTGGAAAACAGGATGAAACAACATTCAGCAGAGACAGCTGCAACACAGCTCCTTGGAAGTCCCTCCTTAAGAGGCTACTCCTGCTTAGTACCTCTCTTAGGGCAGGTTTTTATTTCCCAATCTGCAATCTTAAAAGTAGAATTTAATAAAGCCTCCCTTCTGTCCCTGTTCTCCCCACCCCAGTTTTGCTGTTTGTTTGTGTTAGGAGTTGAATGTTGACATTTCTCTGTGGCTTCTGTATAGTCCTTGTACTGAGTACAAAGGCAATGTACATCTCTTTCCACATCCTATGCACTGCTCAAAAAAAATCCTTTCTGCTGTTTCTGTGAGATGTTGAATCCCAGGTCCTGGGAAGATCACTTTGGGGAATAGTCCTCTTCTGTTTATAGGCTGCTGAGACCACATGGAAATTTACAAAAAGCCTAGCTTCCTACTCCATTTCAAAGACTTGCACAGTTCTTGCATCGGAAGCATTTGCCCATGCAAAGCCCCTAAACTTTGCCGGAAATTCCTTTCTCTGTGTACCAAATTATGAGGTTGGTCACAAGGAGAAAAACAGGTGGCTGGGGTAGCATAATGTTTGAACAAGAGGCTTACAATGAGGCCGAATCATGATTTGTATTTCACAGATGCAGTTTAGTCTCAGCATAATGCTGAGGAGCATTTTGGAGCTTTATACCAAGATTTTATTTACTTGATTGTTTTCCTGCAGCTAAATATTTCATTGAAAGCAGTTTATTGAAAAGTTGCCCTAGTTTTTTCTGACTGGTTGACTGAACCTTGATGCATGTAAAATTGAGAATAAGAGATGATGTGAAATGTGTCTGACAGTCACCCTAACAAAATAAACCAAAATAGCTAAAAAAACACCCACCAAACCAACTGTGGCCAGTCCTTTGCAAAGGATGGATTTCCTTCTGCCTCAGCCTGATCCACTCATTTAAAAGTTTTTTGTTAATTTTTTCCTAGTTTTATGGCTCTGTGGTTTCCGAGAGTGCTAAAAGAAACAGTGCTGCTCAGGTGCCTCACGTCCTTTCCTGCCTGTTGGCTGTCAGCACACACTGATTGATCACAGGCATACAGATGAGTCTGACTTGATTTCTGATTGAGTCTGAATCAAGTCTGACTTGATTTTCTGACTTGATTTCTGGCTGGTTGAATTCCCCCACATTCTGCAGGCCAAGCAGTAGCGTCTGCTTCTAGGAAGTAACCTCTGCCTTTGGCTACTAAAACAGGGTATAGGTGACCTACTGGTCTGTTCCAAAGCAGTGCAGGTAACGGGAGGTGCTTGGTTCTTGCCTGTTTCCCTCCTAATTTAGTAACCGCCTCATGTAGGATTGCTGTATAGTTGATAGAGAGGAAAGAGTACTTCCAAGTTCAGAGTTGGTCCTCTGGAGGCACCTTTCTCTGTTTCAGCTAAAATGTTTTGAAAAGGATGCCAGCCTTCAGTTTAAGAAAAGATAATCATTTAGAGGAGAAAGGACCATATTTGTGTTGCTTCCTGCTAGATAATTCCTTTTAGTCTTGTGAAATATTTCTGCTTTGGTTTGTTCTTACACCATATTTTTACAGGATGTAAAGCAGGACTATTTGGAGAGTATGCCAAGAGCTGGTATAGTGCTGAAGCTCCTACTGTCCTTCCTGTATCTCTTGCATGAATCTGATGACATCTGTCCAAGTGTCTGGTAATTTAAACTATCAGGAAGAAAGAGCAAGTACTGAACAGATCTTGACTTTTTGCTACTCTTAATTAACATAAACCTTCTAAGTTGATATGGATCTAATTTCCATGTGAAAGATCAAAGAAAATGAATGTCCATGAGCTTTATGAGTCTCTTACCTACAATAAATAATGAAAACTCATTTTGAGTGATCTGGACAAATGATGAATATCGTAGTCTTAATTTTCAGTTTATCTCAATGAGACTGTAAACTGCGGGTGGATCTCTTAGGAATGTAAGGACAGATTGTGTAAAGACAGGTTATGGACACATACTTCAAATAACAGATTATGAAGAACTTGTGGGTCAGAAAAGGTGCATCTTTCCAAGAGACACAGACATCACTTACCTGGAAAATAATGTTTAAAATCTAGATAGATCTTTGGGGTTTGCTTCTTTTTTGCAATACTTAACTATTTGATGGCTAATCAGACTCGGAGCATGCAGCAATTTCATATCTATAACAACTCTTTTCCTCCCTCTTTCGAGAGTTTTTTATTTGAATAAGGTACATCCTGTCAGAGGATGTGAGGATGTCAACAGCAGGATGTGTAAGAATGTCAGTTGGTGGTTTTTGGGAAAATCTCCCTCTCTCTCACTCTGCCACAGTTTGAGACCCTCAAAAATCCAATTTCCAATTTCCAAGCCTCCCCCCCAAATTTACCTCAACACCAAAGAGAATTTTCAGGCAGGCACAACTCAGTATAGGGGAAGGGAATATATACAATTTATTACTATACAAAATAAATACTATACAAACTAAAAAAACAATTATATACACAACATTAACACAGCTTCTACCACTCCTTGGACCCTCCCACATCAGTTCGGGAGAAGTCTTCAGAGCGATAGTGAAAAGTCTCTCTCTCATTGAGGTATCAGAGAAAGGGTTGAAACCCCCGCTAGCCCTTAGCTTCATGCTGAGGTCCTATCCTGAGCTGCAAGGGAAACAGCTTGTGCCATCAGGATCTTCATCACGAAAGGTCCAGGGAGTCAGCTCTGAGTCCTTCCTCCCTGGTTTCGTAAAGGTTTCCTCCCAGGGGTAAGATGTTCCGCTCTCACCCTCCAGGTTGCAGGCTCTGGGTCTCTGCTCAGTTCTTTTTACCCCAAATAGTTTTAAAGTCCTTACCCAGGAAAAACCTGCTTGTTTGGCTCTCTCACTCTTCTTTAGCTGCTGCAGCTTCCAGTTTCGGTAGTCCGTGTCCAAACCCAATGTAGAGCACCTCCAAGCCCTCTCTGGCACATCTCCAATTTCTGCCTGGAGTTCTTCCAACTGTTGCAATGAATCACAACTGTTTCTCCCGGCAACCGAGCCTCTCTGGCCCATCTCTTGGCTCGGCTCCAGTACTGAGCTCCAGTACCAGGGAAACAGGGAGCTGCAACTCTCCTGGCTGGCCTCCGAGTCCACTCTGTCTGCTTCTTCTATGCAGTGGAGGGGGAGAACCGGTGAGGGAACCACCCTAGCCCTAGTTGAAGCAAGGCCGAGGAGGCCCGGGGGCCCCTCTGGTCCAGGGGCTCCCCTGGCCACCCCTCATGTCTCCAGTTCTCTCTTACACACAGAACACTCCTACATGGTACCTCCAGCCCTGGCCAAGCCAGGGCCACTGGGGCACGGGGCACCCCCCGGGTTCGGGGAGGGGGGGCCCGTCCATCCCTCCAGCTTCTCTCTCTCTCTTACATGCTCTCACACACTCTGCCAACAACTTCCCGCTGTTGTTGATATCTAATTTTCACAGGAGCAAAAAAGAACAGCTCTGATTGGTCCCTCAGGGGAAACTCTCCTGGGACCAATCACCTCTAGGCCCCCCAGCTTCCAGAGGGGGCAGCTCAAACCAAAACACACTCTTATAAGTTTTAAGGATGGCAGCAGGATGAATTTGCTGATACTTTGTTGTCATCCTTTTTATTAAATTCCTCAGTGAATATTTATAAGCTGCAAAAACTGAGAAGGTTTTTCTAGAACAAGGTTATCTTAACTGAAACTCATTTTAACAGAGCTTGGTACATTTCACTTGCTTCAATCATCTGCTTTGCTGGACAAGTGAAAACGCTAATGATCCAAGAAGTTTATCTTTGTGTATTTCTGCTGAAGGTGAAAGAGTGTCTAGGTTTGAGCATTCAGAGGAAGATGTTATTTATCTCATTAGTTCTGATATAAGCAGGGAAACAGCTGAGTTGGCCAAAACATCAAATAAACACAGTTACAAAGAAGGTAACACCATTGACTTAAAATGCTATGAGGTGGTTTTATATATTTTGCTGGGATTTTTCTCCTCTGTCTCTGTCTTCAGACATGTAGAACAGAGACACCTACATGTGAGCTAGGTTAGATATGTTCATGTCCTATCCAGTCAAAGCATTTCCAAAGCATGGTTTGTCTGGCTTACTTCCGATATTTTCTTTGGGCTTATTTGACTCCCAAAGTGGTTATTTTTCTCCTTTGGCAATTAATGGTAGGCCAGACATATAGCTCACATATAGGTGTATTTTTATGGACAGGCTAATCCCACCTTCTCATATAATTTAGCTTAATTCAGAATAATAATTGTGATTTATAATTGTGCATGCAGGTTGGCCAGGACAAAGGAAGCTGTTCTTTCCACAGAAACCACAGCCCATGTGTTGTTCCTCAAGAGAATGAAAATATTTTCCACACAATATTTGCTTTTTTCACGAAGTCTGGCAGAAAAGTATTGGTAAGAAATGGCACCATTTATGACATACAGCATATTCTACAAACGATTTTGCATGGCTTGGCATAAAGATCTGAAGCAGATCTGTTCACTGTAGAGCAACGCTTTGCTGAATATATGACACAGTTGGTCACCAGAACCTTCGCTCCCTTGTTCTGCCAAAGGCACATGGGGGCAGTGAGGCACTGTACTTGGTGCCTTACCCACGCAGAGGGCTGATGTGCAGCAGTGGCCCTGCCCCTTCCAGGGTGCTTGCCTGGCTCAACACCTCTGTAGAGGGCTGAATTTTATTAGCTGGCTTGCTTTCATTCAGGTCTCTGTATCCAGCTGTCTTCAGGTCTTGAAAGTTTCTGACATTTCAGTGTAAGAGTGCTGTATTCTAGCAGTTTACTATATACCTAATTTTCTGCTGTATTTACTGTCACACAATTTGTCATTGAATTTTTACCTCCTTCGCCTAACGGCATTTTCCATATTTCCTATAGGACTGTGAAAGACCAGGCAGGTCCTGCTTAATTATACACTGCAACTTAAGCTCACTACCCAAAGCAGAGTCCTGTGATATAAGTATCTACATGCTACTGAATACCGAGTTACTCAAGAAGGTGCGTGCTTCCCTTGTAGGTTGTCTTAAATACCAACTTAAGTGTGCTTATGTGTGCCAGTGAACTCAAAACTTGAATTTCTTCCTCTCTTTACTAGTGTGTTAAAAAAATATCATGGCACCAAGGAAAACAAATCTATTTATCAACAGTGTGTATGGAGGTGTTAATCCTAGTTCTTACCCATTACACATTAAGACAGGAATAAATTAAGTTCAGAAATTTATATATTGAGAAATAACAAATGAGTCCCCTAATTGTTGGGGTGTGGTGTTAAGGCTAGAGACTTCTGAAAGTTGAATTGGTTTCTGAAAGTTTTCGTTCTGAAAAACGAAAGGCAGAGTAAGTGAATATAAACTATGACCAGCTATGTATCATTCTTTCTGTGTAAACAGAAATTGTAGTTTTTTGTCATTTTTACTTCAAATTATTATTATTCAAAGAAGATGCATCAGGAGTGTATTAATGCTGAGCTTGATGTTTGTGACACGAAACAAATGATTGCAAGTTAATTTCTGTCTTCTCTGAAGACACTGAATGAGACAACAAATCCTAAATTTTTTGTGATTTACTACATTTTGACCTCTTTACTTACAAAAATACTGACTCTCCAGTTGTGGCAAGATGCTGTAATATTATGAGGGTTTAAGATAACCACAGGAGAAGGCTGATAACATAAGCCTGCTAAGATAAACCTAGATTAAAAGCATCAGAGAGCGCCCTAATTAGAAAACAATTGCTAAAGTAATTGATCGCCCTGAGCTTTTCCAATTGAAACCAATGAGTCTATTAATGTTTGTTTATATTTGAAAATAGGAAATACAAGCAAGGCCAGAAATTTCAGGTATTTGTTACATGCTTATAGAAATGCTGAAATATGTAAACAAGTAACTGAGTGCACACAAAATATACGTCTGGAAAATTGAGGCTTGGGAATAGCCAGGATTCACCCCATCTGCTGGGTGCCTTGCAAGATTACTATTAGCAACAACCCTTTAAAAGATGTACAGTGTTTATACATGTGTTTGGGTCAGTATCACCAAAGAGTGCCATTTGCTACTTATCACCTACCCTTCCCAAGGTGAACTGCATACAAATGACTAACCTATGAGTTGAAATGGCATCTTACTGAAATGCGCCTGTCAAAATGCACCATGCATTTCATGGCAGAAATATATATCAATGAGACGAGATGTACAATAAATATTTAAGATATCTACCGTGCACAGATTTAAATAATTAAGAAGTTTTCCCCTTGGGTTATATTAGATTTTGTCCCAGATTTTGTATATCATTTTTCTGTTCAATTGAAAAACAGTTCAGAGCTTTTTTTCATGGTTAATATTGAGTCTACCTGTGTTGTTGGCAATATTCTGTCTTGCTTTTTTGGTAGATATGGAAAACATGAACAAACCAAATACAAAGTATGTGTTTAAAGTCCAACATACCTGATTTTGTTTTATTCTGAAATATTATGCTCAGTTATATCTGTCTGTTATGAGCATTAGGAATATTTTTTCAAAGCAGCATTTTAACCAGGCTAGTGTTTAACTGTCAACCTAACCTCTACTAAGCTTTGTCTAGATGTTTTTATTACACTGGCAAATTTTGATGGTTTGTTTTTGGGTTTTTTTGCCGGGGGATTGGTGCTTTTGTTGTTGTTGTCTTGCAGCCTCAAATCCAATTTTTCCTCTTTTTACTTCTCAGGACAGTTCCTCGGTCATCCAGTTTGTCACAAGGGTAAGGCTGAGGATGGACGGTGACCTCAGAGTTGTGGAGGTGCCGAGTGGGAGCCCACAAGAAAAATCAGTAAGTAAATAAACCTGAAGAGAAAGGTTTCCTTATCTGAGTAGGCTGGAGATCACTGAGAGCTCTATACAAACTGGAATTTGTGGCTAGGCTTGGTCCGGGCCAGCCGAGACTTTGTTTGGCTACACTTACAGTGCTGTGAACTGTGCTTCTTTGGTTTTGCTCTCTGTGATAACTGTGTCAGCAGAGTGAGTGACATTATATGGAGCCAGAGGGATCTGTGTTGTACAAGCTAAAAGTTTAATACCCTCGAGGTATTCATGCAAAAATTAGTTTTAGCTTCCTGTTTTAGGGTTAATCTAATTCAGATTTTCCTTGAAAACCTAGCAGAGACTTGAAACCCCAGCAATGTCTTTTCACATATACCTGAATGAAATATTTAGAAGTGTTAATGATATTTTGGGAGCTGTGAAAATGGACAAGGATGTCTAAACTTTCAGTGATACATTAAACTCTTCCATTGTGCTGAGCTGATAAAAATGAAGTATGAGCGATACCACATTTTGTATTGATCGGCATGGGGGTGGATTAAAAATTGAAGGTGAAATATCAAAGGTCAAGGTGAATTCACTTTATAGTTTTGTCTGTAAGTAAAATTGTACTGTAAGATGTTTACTGGCTGATCTACTGGAAAAGGAGGGGTAATGGCTTTGGTTTACTACTACCAAATGGGGACCCCTGGTGGTCTAGTGGTTAGGATGCAGCACTCTCTCCACTGTGGCTCAGGTTCAGTTCCCAGTCAGGGAAACTCCCCTGGGCAGCTGAAGCTCGTCAACCCTGTAAGGCCATCCATCTAAGAGAAGGTCACTCTAAACAAACCTACGTCCTGAGGACCTCACTGCCACTGTCCAAGCTCACTCAGCCCCAGCAGATGAACCTTAGGATTAAAGGGTGGGCTCAGCTCAGCGCACACTGTGTCTCACCTAAAAAATCCACTGCACAGGCTCAAAGGGTAAAGACCTTTCCCAAATCTTCGTTCACGAAGACTGGCCATACATATTACTACCAAATTGTGTTATACTTACAACGTGAAGATTGACCAGGAGGCCACACTCAAATTCAGCTTAATTTTTACCTAGTGAAATTTTAAAATTTCATTTCTTATTCCTCTCTCATATGAGGATCAAAGGTAATCTGGACTACTTTCTATTATTGTTCTTGCTGTGTATTTTCAGAACATGATCCCTATTCTCAGTCATCCTTCTCTCCCTAGTGGATGTTGTCTCCACCAGCCTGTACAACCACTCTCTTATTGCCTCCATTTTAAGTGAGTGACATTGAGATCTCAGTATGAGAGCAATGAGTTCAACACACTTTTGGAAGACACTGACGCCCCAAATTAAAGCACTCATCTCAGAGATACTGGATTTAAAACCTCACAGGCAAATTAGGCCTGCATCTTCTTGCTACTTTAAATTGGAAAGTGGAGATACCACTATAATGCCCATCTTCTCCACCATCATGTTAAGGAAACTTCCCAGTCTGACCATTCACAAGACTCTGGCAGTCACACTCCCAACACCAGAGACTTTCACTGCTGGTACCGAAGCCGTTTCACAGTGGGCAACTCCAGCTGAGCCAACAGGTGCCCTGCTTGACTCCCTACAAACTCCACTCACACACAGTCAGTTGAGGTTTCCTTAGTGGTTTGACCCCAGATTTCCCATAGCAGAGTCTCAGATGTCTAGTTACATAAAGCAATTAATTTGTGGTGCAGTAACACAGAAATAGTCTGAGCTAGGCACCTCCAAGGAGGACTCCGAACCAAGGAACCGCTGAGCTTTTATCTGCTCACAGTCTAAGCTGCATGCAGGACACCCTCTTCCTCCTGAGTCCTCTACTCTTGCTGTGTCTCCCAGTGTGCATCCACCTGATTGGCTCTACTGATCCTCCTGCCTTTTGTTATCCAAAAGGTAGGTAGTTCACTGCTATGTCTCTCAGTGTCCATGTACCTGGCTGGCACCACCCATCTTCCTACTCTTCATTTACCATAGGGTTCACGGCCTCTTGTCTCAGGCTCCCACCCAGAGCTCAATCCGCATTTCAATCTGCATCTCAATCTGCACCTTGCAAACTGAGCTACCTGCACCAGATATATTCTTCAACACTCATGTCTGTAACCCTAGTTTTAACTTTTGATTTTATTAGACCTGTCAGAAAAAGGAATTATTTTTTATGACAGGACCTCATTTTTCCCCTTCTGTTTTATTTTCTTTGTCAGGTTTCTGGACCATTCTAAAATGCATTAAAGAATAGACTTGGCAGCTGAAATGAAAAACATAGCTAGCCTTTGCTGGGAATGTGCCTTATAAGTGACCTGCAGCACTGATCGTTGCTTGATCTCTCTTTAGTTCTGCAGGTTGCACAGAGCAAATCTTGCAATTGTATGACAGAATTTCATCAATGACTGAATAACATATGACTGTGACACCCATGCCCCAGCTGAAATAGAAGAATATAGAATATATCTATGCCAAATATTTTCTTCTGTAAAGGTTTTTAGAATCTCTCAGAATGATAGGCACAATGTAAAATGTGTGGGATTACTGTTATTTAATATTCAAAATTTAGAAATGCTTTCATCTAGGAATGCAAGCTCTGTTGTATTTCATTGTTATCTAATGCTTGAAGAAAAAAAAAAAGAAAAAAGAAAAAAATTAAAAAAAAAAAAATTGTCCTTTGCCCGTTCCCAGAAAGCCTTTCAGCAGGTCTTGAGTTGCATCAATTATGCAGTGCAGTGTGTGTGCTGGGAAGCTATATTAATCTTCAAATAAGAGATTACTTCTAGGTCCTGGGAAGCCCTAGCTGTAAACGAGCATGCTTGACATATTGTAGCCATGTAACATCAATTTGTAGTTTCAAGTCTTTTCTCATGCAAGTGCCATTTGCTCTCTCCTTTATGCTATTTCCATATGTCTGTTGGCTTCACCATTGCTGTATGTTTTGGATAGGATCATGTTCAGGCAAAAATTTAAGAGGTGGTTTGGCTCAAGGTACTCATTTCCCCCTGTTCTCTTCTTGTGGAATGCAGAAGGGAATAGTACTTGTTGCAAGCCACAACTATGCAGCTGGAAATACAGATAAAAGAAAGAAAATGTCTTTGTTCGTACTCCTCCCTTCCCTTTTAAAGTTCATCCCATACTCTTCATTGACCATGGACTGCTACCACATTCATTTGGATAGCAGTTCCTTCTGAACAGTTCTGCATGAACTTCCTATGAGTTTGTGTTCCCTAACAATGAAAATACATTTTCTTAGATGCTTTATCATAGTAAAGTAGAAAGGACCTTTTTGCTCTCTATGGCTAAACGTAGACTTATTAGCACATTTAAATTGTTCTTTAAAAACAGATGTCATTACTTCACTGGGCACTTTTACAATATATTGTACAATATCAGTGTGCAAACTCTCTGTAAAGAAGACAAATGGAAAAAGAAGACAATTGGAAAAGGAAGACTGACATTTGTGATGCTAGTATAAGAAGTATCACTGGACAACCCATATAAACATCAGCTTTGTCAGAAACTCCAGCAGACAATTCATAAGGGAGATGCAAAAGCATATGTAAAGATCTCTAAATTGGGTAGCAGACTGTCTGTGAAATGAACCCATTTTTAAAAAAAGATGCATTTATGCAATTCTCAGACATAATGTCTCCAGATTTGGATATGATTTTATGTGATTTGGAATTGTATATGCTGTCTCTGGTTACAATAGGCTACTTGAACTCTTATTTGGGACAAATCACATGAAGAAGGTGAGCAAAGTTTGGATTTGGCTTTGTGATGACAGTGGTATTAACACAAGTATATATTGGCTGAAACTGATGGTGTGGTATTTGCAGAAGGCATGCTTAATTTTCTTCAGCATGTGGGTTTCCATGAAGGTTTGGCTCCCTTCTTCTCTGCAAGTGAGGTGAAACCAACAATAAGCTCCATGAGACCGCAGTAGTCAAATACACCAGATCCAAGGATCCACATTCTGTGCTCACTGCTTGTGTGCAGGAGGAGGAGGAGCGCTCTTAAAGAGCAAAAGGACTTCCTGTAGAAGTCTGGAAGGAAGAATTGGTTGGATTTTACTACAGCGAAACCATCTGAATGCCTCTGATTCTTCCTGTCTTGAAAGTGAGTGCACACAAAGCTGAATGCATGAAAAGGCATCCCCAGACAAAACACATACAGCTTCTGCAACATAGTGCCCTGTAGAGCTTAAGGCTGCTGTCTGGTGCTGTCAGCTAAGTACAGGTATGCTCCAGCAAGCCTTTGAACATTTCCTACCGTCTGGGTAGAGTTCACTTTTCTCTCGTTTTCAACGCAATCACCCCAGGTTTAGTGCAACACAGTCAAGTGGTTGTCCTCCATGTATTTTTTTTTCCTCAGGATTTAGATAGGTTTATGTTTGCAATGATGAACAAATATATTTTGGAGAAGAACAATAGCAAAAAGAAAAACTCATAAAAATTAAGTTTATGCTTGTAAAGACCTGCGAGGTATCTTTATATGCATATTTATACGCAGAGAGATTTAAATGCGTATTCACATGCCTAAGGTTTAGCTGTCTGCCTGCAGCATGGAGAACTTCAGCCTGTTCTCCATGTCTGTTGGAAGGAGCAGCCTGTGGTACTGGACAGTGCTCATGATGTCCCAGCATTTTTTTAGTGCATGTGGAAATACTACTTCTACCCAACAATCCACCAACCTCTCTTGTTTTTTAGAATCACTCAGCATTTTAAGGCACCAGCTCTCCAGCTTAGCTTTTGGATGCCTGGCCAGAGCTTTCTCCAGCAACTTTGCAGCCTCACGCCAGTGGGTTATTTGCTGCTTTATTGTTTTCACCATGTTTCGATTTTTCATTTTGTTGCTTTACCTTTCCATCTGCTATTGTAACATTCCTTTTACAGATTTTCTTGTCTTTACAGTGCAGTCTGACAGGTAGAAACACACACTTTGGTAAAGGAATAGAACAATACACAATAATAATAAAATACAGTTAATTTCCCA